CATCCATGACAGAAACGGTAGACGCCATGCTTGCCTTTCACAGATATCATCTCGATGGCGTGGCCTTTCTCCTCGAAGGACTCGTTGTTCTTACGGGCTTTCTCCATCTTCTTCTTGATGATCTTGTCGCGCTTTGTAGAGGACCACTTGAACTTCTTGAGCCCGTCAACGTGCGCCTGCTGAAGGGTCTTGTTGTGCACGCGTAGGTGGATCCGCTTGGATCTGCGTCCTGCATATGTGCCCTCTTTGTTCCGAAGCCCCTTGTTGCAGTAGGGGCAACGCCACCAAACGTCCTCGTTCTTCTTGATGACGACTGCCTTCTGTGCCTCAACGCATCCTCTAATGCCAAGACCACAGTGGTAGCCCGTGTAGCCGTTGGCCATCCAAAGCTGGTCATGCAGAAGGCGAACACAGCGTAGGTGGGACTCTTGACACGCTCCGCCACACATCCGCTCACGATGGTGGCGCCTATGTTCAAAGGCAAATGCACGCTGGTCATCTAGGGAATCTACGGCAAACACGTGCATGAGAACCTTCGGTCACATCTCGACAGAAGGACACGACGACAACTCAGGTTGGTACCAGCTGTGCAGAAGGCCTCACTGGGTAAAAGGAGATACTTTTTGCAAGTTAGCCATTTACAAGCAACCAAAACCCAAAAAAAAACATAAAAAGGATACCACTGAACATCCCAGAGGCCCACTGAAAGAACCAGCTCAGCATGGTGGACTGGCAGGCCCCGTCCTCACACTCCACCGGGACGATATTGCCCGATGCATCCTTGTTGTAGAACCCGAGGCCGAAGAAGCCATCCGTGCCAATGAAAGACCCGGCTTGGGAGCCATAGGCGAAGGCCCAGCCAAAGATCCACCAACCCAATGTGCCAACCTGGGTAATAGTTGAAGGGCCCTGAAAAGTATTTATGAATAGTTTACGTCTATAGGAGCCATAACGGAAATGTTACAGTTCCCCAAAGTGCCACCTGGCAACACTCACATTGACTAGATTCTTCATCAGGACGTTCGAGGCATTCTTGGCACGGCAGCAGCCGGTCTCCAACATTGCAAATCCTGCATGCATGAACATAACCAACGCTCCACAAAGGACGAGCCACGCCGAATCCATGGCGCCAGCCATACTCTCCTGGGTTTCGGTCATCTGCTTCAGCTCCTTGCGCTGCTCTTCCAACAATTCTCGTTGGGCCTGCAGTTCGCGGAGAAGCTCAGCAGGAGAGTCCTGCGACATCGCTGTCGCGGTGAAGGCGGCAGCAAGAGCTGCTGCGAGGCAAACCTTCATGCTCACGAAACCCGGTGATCACGATGCGCTTCCACCTGCCTAAGTGCCGCTGTGAGCGAAAATTGCTGCAGCCGTGAGGATGAGCTCGTGGTTGAAGCACTGGACAAGGCAGACGGCTCACTGTCGAGGCTTCAGACGGGTGTTGCAAACCATCTTTTGTGGCCCAACGAACTGTCAAACAACGGCCAGCCTGAACCTCAAAGAACCCTAAACCCTAGACCTCACGGAACCCTGAGACCTACATTCTGAGGCCAAGGACCAGCTCACTTGCTTCACCTCGGCAGGTCCATCTTAGGATCTATGTAGGGTGCTTTCTTGCGGGCTTCGGGGTGTAGGGGCATCGGGTTTCAGGGCTTAGGGTTTAGGGTTCCGGAGTTTAAGTTTTCGATATTAGGGTTTAGGGTTCCATAGGGCCGACTCCTAGAGAGGCCTAGGCCGAAGCGAACGGCTTGCTCGGCCCCATCTTGGGACTATCTTCTGATGCACTACAAGGACTCTCTTCAAAGCAGAAGCTCATCAACCTTCCTTCCCCCACCCTCCGGGCGAGTCAACCTGGAGGACGAGCTCTAAAACGAAGCCTGTGTTCGAATCCTCACAAAGCCCCGGGCCCTTGTCACGGAGAGCAGCACTCGCCACGGGAGTCGGCGCTCTCGCTCCCTCGGCTGAAGAACGGCTCGGGCATCCGAAGGCCGAAAAACCCTCCTTGCACACCCCTCATACCCTGGTACTTGTACTGTAGCCCACGGAGACAAAAAGGACCAACAGGCAAGGAGGCAGACAGATGCATGCAGATGCATATCTAGATAGACATAGTTTCCCTGTTGAATCAGCTGACAAGAAAAAAGCAGCAACATCTGCAAGCACGATGGGGAGCAGTTACTACTCGCACTGGCAGTTTTACGGATGCCGATAATTCGGCTCCACGGTCGCCACGAACACGACGGCCACTGCTGATCATGATCACTGATCACTATTGGTATTGCTATACCTGGTTTCACAGGAAATCATGATCATGTTCCTATAGATAATACTGGCACCACTCCAGAAAACAGTCAGAGGGATGATGTTAGTATGGACCTTCGAGGCTGAGATTACGGTCAAAGGCTTCCTAGTGTACAGTTGAGGTGAGGCCTGAGCGCTTGAAGCTCGGGAATCGCATTATCTCCTTCTCTACGTCGAATTCGGACACCTTGGGGGAGGTATACTGTGGTCGGCACAGGCTCTCGGGGCTCTCCGGGCTCCCGGGCATCTCCCCACGTCTCCGGCACCAGCAGCGGCAGCAGGAGCGCAGCTCTTCCATGCACTCGGCAGCAGGGAGCGGAGCGAAGCGGAGCGAAGCGGAGCGAAGCGCAGGGAGCGGAATCCCCAACCAGAGCTCAGAAGCCTGAAACGCCCTACCAGCCAGTAGAACGGAGTCGCAGCAGAGGCACCTCGTTCTCGCCGACGTCGGTTTGGTCGGAGCCTGAAAGAGGACGGAGGAGAAACAAAAACAGGTAGCTTAGGCCGGTTACGTCGTTCATGCATGGTGGGAATCAACTGCTGAATTTGAAAGCTGGAGGTCTCTAAGCCTTTGCAGGATGTAGTCACTTAGACCTGCATGAAGCAAACCCACCAGTGATCCTGGATAGAAGACCAGCTCCTATCTTTCGAAGCCTCCGCCCGACATCTCAAGAACCGTTCGCCAAAAGCCCGAAAAACCTAAACTGCCACCGGGTCGCCATCGCTCATGTGCTCCAGCTGCGGCATTCGGAAGTCGTTCCTGACTCGAAAGGCTTTCAGATTTTGTGGCCGCACTGCTAAGACAGCGATCTGGTGTCTGGAGGCTGAATGAAACCTCATGCGTGCCTGATGAAGTAAGATGATAGGTTGCGTGTTTGACTCTGGTTCCGATTACGTGTGCAAAATGTAACTAAGCTGCGTCTCGTCCTGCAACACCCCTAAGCCGAAGCGCCTAATCTTCAACACCAAGACCAAAACCGAAAGCCCGAAACCCAAACTCAAGTTATGAAAACCTGACCAACCTGTGCCTCTCCTCGTAAACCCGAAACATTCCGAGGAAGAAACCGAAGAAAGTCTGTAAAATTGAGAAACGTTCAAACACCGACCAAACGACTCCAAAAAACGCACAAGAACCATGCCAAAAATCTCCGAGACCCGATGAGACCACAAAGTGCACGCACACACACACACACACAAAGACAAAACAAACCAAGTATTTGCGATCTCCCGTTCCGCGCCTGCCGGGGAAGAGCTCCCGGACGCGGGCCTCTGCGGTCTCTACCAGCGACCGAACCTGGCAGAAGTTCAGCCTTGTGATTTCAGTACAGTTTTGTCGTGCACGAAAGTGCAAGTGTACACGAATTGCAAGGGGATATTACCAGTGATTCCGACCTTCCCGAGAAAGGTTTAAGGTCACGGGTACTTGTTTGAGGTCAAAAGGTGCTGATACGGGGTCAAAGCGGTTGAGGGTTTAGGGTACCGGGGTTAAGTTTCCAAGAAATCGCCTTGGGTTGAGGGTTGGTTTAGGGTCCAGACTACTCTTCTTACTACTACTACTACTAC